CTTCAATTATCCGAAAAATTCCGATCACGATTTTTAATACTTACAAAAGTGAGAAATATACAAATTATTTGAAAATAAATTGAGAATTTGAGAATCAAGCGGAAGGACAATGGGCCTGTGAAGTCGGCGCCTTTTGCTCTGAAAAAAAATCTCGCTCGATTATATGATCCTTCAATTATCGAAGAAAATTCCGATCACGATTTTTAATACTAATAGAAGTGAGAAATATACAAATTATTTGAAAATAAGTTGAAAATTTGAGAATCGAGCGGAAGGACAATGAGCCCTGCGGAATCGGCGCCTTTTGCTCCGAAAAAAATCTTGCCCGATTATATGATCCTTCAATTATCCGAGAAAATTCTGATCACGATTTTGAACACTAACAGAAGTGAGAAATATACAAATTATTTGAAAACAAGTTTTCTATAAAGTAAAAGATGAAATAAATTAAAGAATCCGATTCTTTTATTTAAAAATGTCCAGCAATTTTTGTGTACAAAATAGTTGTTTTTAAAAGATTGAGGCTTAAACTGATTGTGAATAATTTCTAACAGATTTCTAATCCAATTAAATATTTCCAAAATACGGAATAATTAATAATTTTATTTTTAACTAATTATTCTCCATGGTAAAAAAAATACTCCTTGAAAAGAAATTTTGCATGTTATTCTCTACATCTGTTGCATCCATTGCACTCCACTAGACGGCATTGCGAGATCGCGACAATTCGTACCGCGGCGAGCGAGAAGAAAAAGATTCGCAAGTGCTGTAAGTTGCATCCCACTGAGCGTTATTTAGCACTCTCGTAAAACACTAATCCCGCCTGCGCAATATTTCCATCGGTTACCAACGCCGTTACATAAAGTAACATTCGCGTCTCCGAGGCAAACTGGACCCACGAGTCGATCTTTCATTCAATCGGCGCGCACGCACTGCTTCGTTAAGGGAGAAAAAAAAGATATTAACTGCGTCGCGCACCACGTTAACATTGTAACGCATGTATCGATCCGTATAACGATCGAGACAATCATCGGCAATACGCTGGTATTGGAGCCGTACATCGTTGGCTTATCGATGAATTATCAGCGAGAAGTTCGCGATTCTCTATTTATTTTTGTCGTAACACAAAAACCTGAACTCCCTCAATACCATCTAAATCAGATCAATAATTTTCGCATCAAGAGTTCGCTAGTTGAAACGATAAAGCGGATAGATTTCAATTCAGCAACTATCTATATTTTAATTCTCAAAAGTTAATTTGTCTGTCCTTTAAATGCTAAAAGATTTATTAATTAAATAATAATCAAAGTAGCAAGAAAAAATTGAGCCATTAAAAAATAAAATATCATCGATATTATTATTTAAACGCATACCTACATACTGATATAATATCAGTCGCCCGTTTTGCTTAAAGAAAAAATTGAAGAATTAAGAATAAGATAATATAAAACAAAACAGCGATAATCTGCGAAAGGATCAAATACAAAAGTATATTATTTTCTCAAAAAAATTAAAATAATTCTCATCGAGGGGGGACTTTCCAGCTTTGTAACTTTGGACCCAAAAACGATAGAACAAACGGTTAAACAACTAAAGAGACACCGTTAACGAAGTACAGCGATAAATCTGTTATATGGAAAACCGAGAAAGAGCACGAATAGCGTAATTCAGCGCTTTCTCATAAACACAGCCGGCTGTGCCGAGACTTTCCGCGAGTGCGTTCCACAAGTACGAATCGATAACGACGGTGGAACCGCCGCCGGCTTGCGCAATCTTGTCGTCGACTATTGAATTATTCATTCATTAATTTTCGGTAGCTGTCCGCGCCAAGAAATCGGTGAGACATCACCATATCCGAACGACAACACACTCTCGGCGTCTCATTCTCCGTCCCCAGATTATTATTATTGCGACCGCACCGGTGACACAGCGCGCGAGAGAGCTCGCCGTTAATGTTTTCATCATCATTTCGGCCGTGAACGGGAATACCGGTGAACCGTATTTTAAGGCAATAATTTTCGCCGCGGTCGATGGCCCGGCGCGCGGCGTCGAAACGGGGACATCGGTCCTTTTGATCGGGCCCAAAGGGCCCCGTCGACGGTCGCGCCACGGGCCATTATCGACCTTTAAGGACCTTGCTGCGACTCGTAGAGACCGGTTACCATAACCGCACGTATAACCGTTCGCTGTGCCGAGACGAAGACCTCCCGGAGGTGTTAGAGGGATTTGAACGCGGTTTCGGCCGACGATCATATTTTTCCCTGCTTCGTCAACGTATATCGTCCTTGAACGTCCCGCTTTTACGCTGTGAGAGACAGTCTTCGTTAAATAAACCAGATTCAATGATATACGCCGGTTGAATCAGAATCTCATGTGGTATAGAGACAGAAAAAGAGGGAAGGAAAATTTAATTGGCCAAGATCTCGATTAAATGACATTTTCACATAGTTTATACGTGTCTATATTCGTGGAACGAATATCTGCCCTTATTTTAATTAAATATCGCGTCTGTCGATTTAATAGAGCTCTAAATCGTCATTACATCATATAATTTAATTCTAAATATACAGTAATATACACCGCTATTCGATTATCCAATCCTAATTTGCAAATTGAACTTCGTTATGATGGAGGATCGTGCCAATTAATGATTAACGAATTAGCGAAAAGATGCAAATCGTGTATATGTATATATTATATATCGCGACACTTTTTTTTCACTGCAACGTCAAACAGCATCGACGACTAATGAATTTTTCATCGCGTCGAGATGCAAAGTAGTTGCCTCGTAAAATATACAACACGCGTTCGTTATACATTGTATGTTCGTCCATTCCTATCAAAGGCTCTCCCTCTCTCTCTCTCTCTCCTGTCCCCGCGTTATTTCGCTCCGCCACGGTTCCTCCGGTTACAAAGACGATCGTTCATCACTTCCAAAAGTAACGAAAGAAGCGAGTAACTTCTCCTTGGAACCGCCTGAGAACACGACGATTTTGTTTGCAAACGATCTACGCGCCCGGCTTCCGCAGAAAAATGCCGCCGCGAAATTGAATTCGCCACAGTGTTGTGGCGAACTCGCCATTTTTCGTCTTGACTAATCGATATGCTGATATTATAGTTCACCACCTACGTGGAACGACAAGAACCGTAAAATGCGACAGATCTATGGCGACATTGTGTCACGGATAATAAAAATCAATTTTTGGGATTTTAAATTGGCTAAGAAAAGTATGACACTTTACTGTGATTTATAGTATGTGGTATAATTGATATAATACTTTTAATTAGTTAGACAAGTTGATTTTTTATAGAAATTATGCCATTCGTATATAATAATAATAGTAATAATGAAAAATATTAATGACTCTGATAATTAATAATCGATAATATAATTTGTGATATTGTTTGTTTTACAATTATTATATTCTTAATATGAATATTTAAATATTAAAAATGCACGAAAATATTCACCAATAGTAGCCATTATTTTAATACGAAATTGCAAACGATATATCAAGTGATTATTCATTCGTACTAATTTTATAGAGCGATATAGGCGTGCATAAAAATAAATAGCAACCGAAAACGTCGCCAAAAGTATATAATTTACTTTACAAATGTCTCAATTAATCACCGTCCTTGTGAATTATTTAAATCGCTTCTACGCGCGACGATCATTAATTAAAATCATTAAGATTTAAAAAACTACTTTTCCTCTCTTCCAATAATGCGGAAAAATCTCAAAACCTCTGAAATCTAATTTGATTTCTAAATTAGGACAGAAATACAGTAACCGGTGCGTTTTAAACAGTTTCTCGGTCTCACGTCTCAAACAAGCGTGTTTAAAATTCACCACATATTTGCACTTATGTTTTCCTAAAATATATGAATATGCGCCGCTTTGCAAAGTTTTTGGTGTTTGCTTGTTTACAATCTCGTGCGACGCAATTATCATCGAGCAATTGATTTTTTAAATCAACTCGAGTGAAACAATGGTTGTCTCATTCAGCGAGAAAATGTAAAGGCTTATAACATTCCATCAATCGCGAGATTTAATCTTTTTCTAGAATCGCGTCAATTCGTCACGTATTCATACAAAAACACCGCTCGTTCCTACGTAATTCATCGCCGATAAATCGTAAACGGGATGACAGTAAAATATTCGGAGAGATACTTCGCGAAGAGGTAAGGAAGTTGCAACGTCGCTCGATCGAGCAAACTTTCGCAGAAGTTTGAAACGGAAAATGCACATTTTTCTCAGAGCTTCATAATATATTTTTATGTGATTTTTATATATATATATAAAATGCCACATAAATGTATCATAGAATGCAAACAACGCATCGGCGTTTTAAGATATATTCCTGGTCATAACAATGAGAAAATACGATAGTCATACAGTTGACGCATCCATATTCATCGATGCATACATATATGCATGCAGATTATTAGAGATACTAGAATTCCAATTATATGTGCGGTATATAATAATACCGCTCTCAATGATAATAATTTATGTTATTTGCAATAATAATTAATCAATGCAATCGTCTAATGTAACTGTCGCAAACAATTTATAAGATTATATTTCAAGAAAAGTGTATCAATTAGAGAAGCAAACAACAATATTTAAGAAATAAATATAAAAAATTAAGAATTTCCTAAATAGAAAGATCATTCTATGATAAATATAAGATGATTATGTTAATCGTCAATCTCTCTTTACTTGCAATGTCAATTCTTATATATGCGAGAATTGTGCTCATTATATATCAGTAAACAATTTTATAAGATTTAGTATGTATTTTTTTAAAAGATTTAATTATTATGTATTCGTCCCTAGAATTTATCTCTCTTATATTAATTATTAAAGTGCAACACTAATTGGTAAAATTTTATTTTACTATAGACTGATTGATTGGATAATCATTAATATTTTATTAAAACAAATTCGAAAAATCTTTCTAGATTAGAAAAGCGCATATATGGATGGCACCTACCTGAAGAAGTCGTTCCTGCAGAAGAGCTTCGCCTCCCTGGAGAAGCACTTGTCCTGTAGCGCAGCTCTGCAGTCGAAACAGCGCACGCACTCGACGTGCCATGCACGATCCAAAACGTTCAGCAGGTACTGATCCATTATCGGTTTGTCGCATCCTGCACATGACAGGAGCATCGCCAGACCGCGTCTCCCTGAAATTGAAATTAAAAGGGAACACATTACGCATCTCCGTCATTGAGGGATTTCCGATCTTATAACGTGACGTTCAGTTCCACTATACAAATCAATATCCTATTTTTAACCAATTTTTTCCTTTATTCTTCAAAAATGAGAAATACGTAAATCTTTACGTTTCGTCAAACAACTAGATCTGATACATTCTCAACTCGAAAATTTTAACCAAAATTTAATGAAATATTAACGCATAGTTATTAATGTGGACAGCGGATATAAACGTTACGTCATTAGTTCCGAGCAAAGCTTGAATTAATATTAGTTCTACATGCAATATTCAACATTTCGCTGTAAATGTGCGCTATGTGTCGCCACAACATAACACCGGCTTTATACAATTTAACGTAATCGCAATTGTATCTCGCGTTTTAAAACGGTGAATATATTTTTTCATTTATATACGTCAATATTTTCCTTTTTTGGATAATTTAATTCGTTGTTTTCTAAAGCTGGAAAATACAAAAAAATTGTTGAAAGATAAATATATATGGTGCTAACATTAAATCCTTTTTCGTCGCGACGTATTTATTTATAAATATTAATTCCGTGAATCATTCGAAACACGCGTCGAGTAATTGTAACAGTGGAAACTCAATCGGAATTATGCACGAAATTATCCGCAATGAATCGAATTAAAATCACATGCAGGCGCAAAGTAAACCTGGCAATAATTTATTAAAAGAAAAAAAGAAAAAATGGCTTATTTAACGTATTGCGAGCACATCAAAATATTCCGAAGCCTTTCGTGCGTATCACATATTTTATTTAAAAAGAAGATTAAACACTTTCATTATAAGAGCGCGCGTGCATAACGAGGCGTGCATTGTGCTGGTTTTTTTTTGTATATCAACAGTTAAATCGCTATACGATCTAGTTGACATAATCAAACAATATAAAAATATAACAATGCGACATAATCGCCGTAATAATCACAACTAATCATAAAGTAGCAACTAATCTGTTTCGCGACAAAAATTATGTTTTTATGATAATAAGATTAATATCGAAAGAATCGCGTGTTTCTTTGAGAGGGAGATTTTACTCTTTATATATTTAAAGTAAGAAATATCTTAAAGAATATATAATAACGATATAATGCATTTCACATTTTCACGTTAATTTTATGTATGTTTTGTGTTATCAAAAATTGATTAAACTTTTTACTCGCATTAAATTATATTATAAACTTATAATTTTCAATAAAAATACGTATTAGATCAAATCAGCTAAAGATGTTCATGCAAGAATATCATAAAACAATGCTAAATAGGAAAACATATCAATTCTTATTCAAATATATTTTTATCCTGTTCAAATAAAGTTGTACAAATATTGACTGAACATAAATTACAGGTCATAAACTTTCTAATTACAAGTACAATTTTTGTATCAATAGTAAACAACTTCCAATTCGGCAACGGTAAATATTTTTGCTAACCAGCCTTGTATTGACCTGTTTACTTTAATTTAGATTTTCCTAAAAGCCAAGTTGTATTTTATTTATATAACTTTGTAATATAAAGAAAATTACATGCATTATATATAAATATTTAAAATATATATTATATAGATGACTATCGAATCTTAATTTTCTGGCCCAATATATTATATAATTTTAATGCGTATACTGAGAAAGACGTATTAGTTACTTCATAAGATATATTTTTCATTTTTATAATTAAATCAATATATATTGAAACTATAACCAGTGATAGTTATCAATGAAAATTTTTTTAAATAAATCTTTAACTTAATCAAAACTGCGACAAAAGGCATATTTCCTGTATTGTTTGCACCTCTATATATACCATTCATTATAACGCTATAATATAATGGTAACGATTAAACACATCAAAAATTATTGGGCGCTAATTAGAGTTTCAATTACTACCGCACTCGCTCAGCAATTTAAACACATAATTTAAACAATGTAAAATATAATTAAAATGTTTGCATTATAATAGTCAAAAATTTATCGTCTGCACAATGTTGCGATCGCTTAACGAACGACATTCCCTTTAATTCGAAACAAAGGAAAGAACTTGAAGCGTCGCAACGATAGACCGTGGTTATAAATCCCGCGGCGTTTAAACAAAAAATCGCATATTGCATCGACGAATTTAACGATCGCGCATTTCGGCGTTTATAGTTTCGCAATCTTTCACCTGACTAATTCCGTGACCGTTTTTTCGGCTACCTTTCGCAACCGAGCCTACGGCGAATAATTATAATTCGTCATTAATTAACATTCGCAAACGAGATTGTTCTTTCGCGGTTTGCTTCCTCTATCACACTCAACATTTTCCTCTCTTTCTCTCTCCCTCTGCCATTATCCTGTTTCCTTTTTCTTCCCTCCGTTCGCCCTCTTGCCGTTTTTATCGCCATCATTGAGACCCACAAACTTCACCCTCCTCTTACTTTTTTTTTCTTCCGCGGTTTCCGCCAATGGGCGGAGTCCTTCTGCCTAGCTGGCAGGGTTGTCAACCTAGCAACCCTCCTCCCACCCTTAAGATCTGACCTTGCGCATCTCATCCCTCTCGCGGAAGGGCGAGAAAGGCGAGGGTAGCAGCACGGCATCGACGTAACCCGCGATCGTTTGCAAGTTAACTTTGAAATTCTAAACTATTCCGCGTATCGACTAGTCTGCCTCTCCCTCTGTCTTGCTAAAATGTTAACGTTACCCTTTAACTGTTAATACAACAAATACAAGTCACTTGATACGATATAAATCTTGATGTCTCCGAAAAGAAATTATATATTTATTTAGATTTTAATGTGAGATTCTTTTCACACACATAATTTTCACTCTTGAAATTTATTTTCAGTTATTCTACTTTATTCAGAAAGTGATAATTATTAATTCTAACAGGAACTGACTAAAAGACAAGGCTAATGAAATTTGATAACGAATTATTGATAATCTATGTGTGCAGAACTAACCCCAATTAAAATATTTGGAATTTTTGCAAATTAATAATTAGTATTAAATTAATTTTATATAATTATAACTTTCTTTCAGTTTCGTCTATTGACTTACATTTCCCCCAGTTGTTCTTGCATTAATTTGAAAATTATATTATTAATGAATACACGCGCACGCACATGAAAAAATTTAACAATAGTAGATTTACCTAAAAATCGCGCGTAATAATTGAACAAAAAGTTTTAGTAAATAATCAAACATATTATCAAATTAATACATATTTAATAAAAAATTAAGATTGATTCTGTAAATTACGATAACAATTATATAATCATGTAAGACTATTTTTACAAAAAAATTTTTAACATTACATTCAAGCAGCAAATTATCTAATCTTGAAATCAATAATATAAATTAAGGCACATTTAGAAACCAATTTCGCGTATAAGTGTTACCATATGAAATTCCAATAATATTATCATGTAACGACTTAAATGCTCGAATAACTGTCTTAACTTAACGAATGCATATATACAAAGTTTTCACATATGTATTGATCAGCGTCGATTAAAATGAACTGTTTCAGCAACTATTACCTCTCAGCAGAAATTATTACTATAAAATATTTAAATAAATCGTTGACAATTTTCCTTCGATATATTATTCCAAAATTAATATGTTATTAATTTCAAAATTTATATATATATATATATGTATTTGTGAGTGTGTGCGTGTATGCTAACTTAAAGCAAGAAAAATTTCATTTTAATAATGACGATATTTTATTCTGCACTTTCATTATTTTTACATCATTATCATGTATCTAACAAAAAATAGAATTTATAAGATTTTCAACTTTATAAACATATTTTCTCATACTCTCATCTAAATATTAAAATGCCAGTTTCTTATCTCAACTAGAAAACTTTCTACTTTGTATAGTTTCCTTAGCTGGAAAACAGTGACAGACAAGAAACCATAGAAAGACCTAGTTAACTAAATCGCATAAACGAGATTAGGATTAGCTAGACGTGAGATGAAAACCCTGTTGATCCAGTAACATCGGATTGCTTAATCCGATTTTTTCCGGTTGAACGTCATTGCTCGCGTCATGCCGGATCTGTTTTGTTCCGTCGGACGAGACATTATCGAGATGTCTCTATCATACGTACCAAAGTAATGACAGCATAAAATAACATGTTTTCAATCAACTTTTTACTAATTTTAATAATAATTATTAATAATTTTAATAATAATTATTTATTAGATGATTTGTCAATACCAATAAACATGTTGACAAATTTTCTAATAAATAATTCATTATAAAAATTTTATATCATAAAATAATCATTATTAAAATTCTATATAATATATTTTTATGCAAGTGTATCACATCTATTTAGATATAAAATAACGAAACTTGATTCCAATCAACAATCTAACATTAATAAATGTCGCATAGGAAGAACAAATCGATAAAAATTTCTTAAAAATACTATCTGTAAGATCTTTTTTCCACTGTAACTCGCGTACATTTAAATTACAATTTTAAAACAGTTGTAATTTACCAAAACCGAATTAAATCTCCTGACGTCGGCAAATAATATAATTTTGTACTATCTTACTAGATCCGACTAATTGTAAAGCTAAAACAGATTGAAGTCGTTCCACAAGCATAATTTCTAACACAATTGTTTGACAATGGTATATTCTATATTTATTTCCATATATACATATATATGCATATACACACATATATACGTGTATATTGCAAAAAAAGGGAGGAGGTATATGTATATGTGCATTTATGTACATATGTATGTGCGTGTGTGTGTGTGTGTTATATACATATATATATATATATACATATACATATATAAGCGCAGCTTCATTCTCTCGCATATTCCGACATGCGCGTTCTTATCCCCGCAACGCGACTTGGAGGGGATGAAGTAGGAAAACGATTTTCTACGAATTACCTTAATCAGTCTAAAATCGCCTACATCAGGTGCATCTAGATTCGATACTAAACCATCCCGTAACAAAATTACTATTTTCTGTGATGCGAGAATAGATCTGCCGGCGGCGAATCGATTTGCCGATTTTATGAATCGAAAAAACCGATCGGTCATCTCTTAACAAAGAGAAAAAGAAATTGATTATTTCTAAAATCTAAAACAATATACCTTTCAAAATTACAGAATTTCGTTTAATTACTTAAAACATAATATTTAATTATGCGCGATCTTTTCATGATTCTTTCATAGAAAAAAAATTTGTATAAAGAATTTTCGATATATTTTCGATAAATAATTGTCCTAAACTGAATAAATCATTACTTCTTAATAGAAGATAAATTGAAGCAATAAAGTAAGGATTAAGGATTTGTGATCATTATTCGACAGAGCACAAAGAAAATAAAATATTTTAAAATATTAAGGCTTCTAGAAATATATAAAAGAATTTTGTATTATCTTTCCTGGATATGTTTGACTACAATTATTGATTGATTAATAAAATTATTTGAGAGAAATATTGATAGATTAGACTGATCTTCTCAATACTTTGTATTTAAAGATATTTCTTATAAAAATTGTTAGTGTCTAAAAAATATATGTAAAAGAAAAATATATATATAAAAAGAATATTTTTCCATATATATAAAAGCCGAGGAAAAAGAAGAAATATATATCCAAACCAAAACTAATTATTTACAATATTTCCTATTCATACTTTTGTTATTATAAAATATTGCTATAAATTAAAAATATAGTATATTAAGTATTTATATATGTGAAATCTCGTAACACAAAAACAATTAATCAAAAACATTTTCTGTAACAAACGTGTGTTTCCCGTCGCGTACAGTTTCAAACTAATTATGTCTGATCATACTCACTTTTACTACTAGATTTCTATCT